TTGTTCTGATAATTATATTTTTCTAAATAAGGGTGTTCATAATACCCAAATACGTATTTGTTTCATCCGTAGATTTTTGGTGATTTCTTTTTATTTCCATAGTCAATCTAATCTGAGATTTGTCCATTTTGTTTTCTAACAATAAACATCTGATTTAAAACAACAAAACAATCTCAGAAGCTCCTGTGGTAGTTCTGCCCTGGTTCTACAGAGTTACCATGGGTTGGAATCAACTCTACGACTACAAATATGGTGTTTTGAGAGAAACTCACGTGGTGTAGCGGTTAAATACTCAGCTGTTAACCAAAAATTTGGTAGTTCAAACCCACCAGTTGCTCTGTGGGACAAAGATGTGCAGTCTGCTTCCATAAAGTTGTACAATGTGGAAACCCCATGAGGGCACTTCCTACTCTGCCCTGTAGGTGGAGTCCTATCGTTGGAATTGACTCTGTGGCAATGGGTTTGTTTTGAGAGATTTACGTGAATCGCTCCATTTAATCTTTGTAGCTATGACAAAGCTGGTACTGCTATAATATCCATTGTGCAGATGGGGAGCCAAATGGAAGCAGAAAAAGTTCTCAGTTATTCTGTAGTAAATGAGTGTTACTGAACTTTGTCCCCTATATCTAACCCTCATTGTTTTTAAAAATAAGATTCAGTCACTTATATTTTTAATATGTATAAGGAAATATACCCTCTATTTAAGTCTAAAAAGCTTTCCTGTTTATGAATATCCTTCTTATCTCAATCGTATTTTAAGTCCTATACTATTGACTTCTTTAGAGATACTATTAGAATTACCAAAGGCCCCATGAAGGTTACTTTTATTATCTCTCAAAAAGCTGATACTGCTGCCACCAAAGTGGAACAGGTATATGTATATATATACACCTTAGATGTATAAATAGATTTTGAGCTTATACCATAATCCCTAACCTAAGCAAGTCAGCTCTTAAGATGCGGGCCTGCACGGTACTTGCCCTCATGAAGAAATCATTGAAGACAGGGTGCTATGGAAAAGTGTGGTGAAGAAAGCAGATGGTGCCCAGCTATCAGAAAGACTAGCATCTGGGGTCTTCAAAGTTTGTCTTAAAACAAACAGCAATGTAAGTGAGGTGTCAGCTAAATACACACAGAAGAAGCACTCCAGCCTGGTGATCCGAGGACTGTGAATAATAGAATCCAAGATCAGAAGAAGGGATTGTATTAGAACTTAAATTCTGAGCTTCCGGTTTGGTTTACAGAAGTCTATGGGTGACAGTGAAAGCCCAAAATCCATTTGTAAACTCCCCAAGGGGATTAAATCTCCATTAAAGTCCCTTGGACTATTGTCCAGGAATGCGAATAGCCTTGCCTACAGAGTATATCAGAGTGAATTAATGCAGATATAGTTAGGTTGAATTTTAATATCAGATGTTTTCCCCTTTGACCTATTTTTAATTTGTTTTATTTTTTATTATTTCCAATTTTCTTTTGGACTAAGGATTTTCTAGTTTTATTTGCTATTATTAGGGTTTCTGATTTTTCATTGTATCAAATGCAGGATAGGTAAATCTATTGCGACAGTAACTAAATTAATAGTTTCTTAGTGAGGTTGAGGGGAAATGGGAAGCTAAGAACAGTGAGTACAAAAATGAAGCAAATATAAAAATAATGTTCTGTGATTGTGGTGATGATTGTACAACTCTTTTTAACATATTCAAACCATTGGCTTGTATGGCACATGAATTGTATGTCAAAAAAAGCTGTTTAAAAAAAGGTCTCAGTCTGCTTGGTTTTGCTCTGTCTTGTTTTTGTGCATGTTATTGTCTCCACAGGTCTGTCTAAATAAGATAGGCTGGATGAACAATCTGGAGGAGAAAACAACGGGACCGACGGTTCGGTGGGGACATGGGAGAAGGGGAGGTGAGGGGAAAGGAAGTGGTGTTAACAAACCCAGGGACAAGGGAACAACAAGTGATCCAAATCGATGAGGAGGAGGGTGTAGGAGGCCTGATAGGTTGTGATCAAGGGTAAGGTAACTGAGAGGAAGTACTGAAACCCAAACGAAGGCTGAGCATGATAGTGGGACAAGAGGAAAGTAAGAGGAAATAGAGGAAAGGGCTAGGAGGCAAAGGGCATTTATAGAGGTCTAAATAAAGGCATGTACATATGTAAATATATTTATATATGAGGATGTGGAAATAGATCTATGTGCATATAAGTATAGGTTTAGTATTAAGGTAGCAGAAGGACATTGGGCCTCCACTCAACTACTCCCTCAATGCAAGAATACTTTGTTCTATTAAACTGGCATTCATTCCATGATGCTCATCTTCCCGACACAATAGCTGAAGACAAAGCGGGTGCATAAGCAAATGTGGTGAAGAAAGCTGACGGAGCCCGGCTATCAAAAGATATAGCATCTGGGGTCTTAAAGACTTGAAGGTAAACAAGTGGCCATCTAGCTCAGAAGCAACAAAGCCCACATGGAAGAAGCACCCCAGCCTATGTGATCACGAGGTGTCGAAGGGATCAGGTATCAGGTATCATCAGAACAAAAAATCATATAATTGTGAATGAGGCAACTGGACATGCCCTTATGGAAGGGTCGCAAGGAGGAGATGAGCCAGTCAAGGTGTGATGTAGCAACGATGAAACATACAACTTTCCTCTACTTCCTAAATGCTTCCTCCCCTGCCCCCCCCCCCCTATCATGATGCCAATTCTACCTTGCAAGTCTGGCTAGACCAGAGGATGTACACTGGTACAGATAGGAACTGGAAATACAGGGAATCCAGGGCAGATGATTCCTTCAGGACCAGTGGTGTGAGTGGCGATACTGGGAGGATGGAGGGAGGGTGTGTTGGAAAGGGGGAACTGATTACAAGGATCTACATGTGACCTCCTCCCTGGGGATGGACAAAAGAAAAATGGGTGAAGAGAGATGTTGGACTGGGCAAGATATGACAAAATAGTAATTTATAAATTATCAAGGGTTCATGGGGGGGCGGGGGAATGAGGAGCTGATGCCAGGGGCTTAAGTGGAGAGCGGATGTTTTAAGAATGATGAGGGCAATGAATGTACAAATGTGCTTTACACAATTGATGTATGTATGGATTGTGATAAGAGTTGGATGAGCCCCTCATAAAATGATTTTTTTTAAAAGAGGAGCTGACACCAAGGGCTCAATAGAAAAGGTCTAGAAAAGAATGATGGCAACATGTGTACAAATGTGCTTGATACAACTGATGTATGGATTGTTACAAGAGCTGTAAGAGCCTCCACTAAACTGTTTTAAAAAAAAACCCTGACAGAGTTCCTGGGATCCTTGCTGGACAGCAGAGTTCTGAAAAACAGTTCCATTCCTGTCTTCAGAAAAGTGGACAGGGCCATAAGTCCATGCCCGAAATAGAATTGGCTGCCCTTAACCTTCTGCGGGCTCAAGGGAGCTGTTTGTCTAGCTTGGATAACCCATTCTATAAAGAATATCCTGGGAATTTCCTTATGTGGCAGAGCACTGACAGGGTGATTTTGATTTTGCTGGGTCAGATGAGCTCTCCTCTCCATCCCTACTATCAAAGTCAAGAATTGACTCTATTCGGGTTTGAGCCATGAACATTTAGGTGTAGAGGTATTTAAAGGCATGACAACAGTTATCAAAATGAAGGTGGACACCAGGGACTCCCCCCTCTACTGAGGTCTGGATGAGAGAGCAGGGAAGACACGTACTTTGAAGAGCAATTTGGCAGCATCCCCCAAAGACGAAGCTGTGTACCTGATGCCCAGCAATTCTGCTCCTAGGTAGCGCCTCCTCAGAGGTCCTCAATCCTCCAGAGAGCTCTGTGCCACCAGAGCTGTGCTCAGAATGTCCACAGCGGCATCGTCTGTAAGCTACAGCACATGGAGATGACCTACATGTCCTACGGGTGATGACATGTCTACACAGCGGACCAGCAGACAGCTGGTAGAGTGAAGTAATAACTAGAAGTAATAACTAGAGTGAGGTACACTTTGTGGACCAAGCTCACTAATACCAAGGGAAACGAGCCAAATGTAGCGTTATACGGACAGAGAGTCCCACACAGCTCAGTGGTTCATTGCTCGGCGTCCGTACCACACACAGGGGTACAGAGAGCAGCAAGAGAGGCTTGGGGCCGATGGAGTTCCTGGTGCAACCAGGAACCAGCAGAAGAGCGGTGGTGTGAACTCAGAACTCAGAGGCAACTTGGAAGAAAGGCCTGGCGATTTGGTTTCCAAAGGGCCCACCGCCTGGGACTGCAGTGCTGCTCTGAAACGCATCCAGTGGTCTGGAGTCAGAACTCACGTGACAGCACTGGGTTCCTGGGAATGATGACTGTCACCTTTTGGAGGGGCTCCTCGTTTGGAGGGAGGGAGCCAGGGGGGTCTCGATTACTCGTGTCAGTTTGTTTTAAAAGGCACTGGTTATTCTTTATAGTTCTCCGCAGGTTTAGAACATTCTTGTCCGGTTTTAGCTGGGCCTTTGTGTTCTGGGGTGGGGGGGAACGGGCGGTGGGCCGAGCATAGAGAGCTGCCACTGTCACCTCTGGAACCAGAACTTGCATGCTGTCTGCCAAGGTAGTCAGGGGAGACCCAGGTAAGTCAAGTCTGTCAGCGGAGGGCACTTTGAAGTGTCCCTCCTTCGTTCTGAACCCCAGGATTGGCAGCCAGGGCTACAGGCGGAGGAAGCAGCTGGGCAGCCCAGGAGGAGGACTGGAAGGGCAGAAAGCAGAGCCAGGTGCTGGCGCACATGGACGCACATGCCTGCATCCCATGCCGCACGCAGACGGAGCACGCAGACGCTTCCATTCAAGCCCGCCTTCCTGCCCACTCTGACCCCAGAGCGGGAGGCACTGCAGGGCAGCCTCCCTCCACCCCCGCCCCCCTCCTGGAGCTGGCTTTTCCCAGCAGGAGCCTCACTCCCTCTACTGCAATCTCTGGAAATTGGTGCCTGCCACGCCTGCTCCTGCACAGTATTTATTTACTCCCCCTTTCCTCCCGCCTCCACCGCCGCCGAGAGACCCTCCTGTCAGGAGAGCTGCGGTCAGGGGAGCTGCAGGGACACCAGGACACAGAGAGGACAGAGGAGGGGACCACTCAGAAGCCCTCCCCCTGCTGCTCTTCTCTCCGGAGTGGCGATGAGCACCAGGCAGGGGGCCAGAGGAGATGAGAGGGGCCACAGAGGGAGGGGACAGGAGGCAGAGCTTCGGGACAGAGCCCGCCTGAGCCAAGAGCGCCGGCTCAAACAGGCCACCCAGTTCCTGCACAAGGACTCTGCCGACCTGCTCCCCCTGGACAGCCTCAAGAGACTGGGCACCTCCAAGGACTTGGTGAGGCTGCCCCTTCCCCTCCCTGCCCCCAACCCCGATCCTGAGGATGGAGGGAGTGGGCCCCGAAGGGCAGACCCCAAACCCCTCCCTCCCTGAGTCTAGGAGAGGGACAGTCCCTCCAACATAGGGGGCTCTGCTCTGCCCTTCTCAGGCTCTTTCCTGGGGGTAGTCTGACGGGGTGGTGCCTCTGGGGGTCCCCTCCCTCTCTCTATGTCCCCTGTTTCTCCTAATAGTCCCAGGCTACTTCTTAGGAATGGGGGGGGGGGAGGGTGAGGTGTTGTGTTGCTCACTGAGAGGTTGGCAGTTCAAATTCGCCAGCTGCTCCTAGGGGAAAAGATGAGGCTGGCTGGGGGGTGGTGCCTCTGGGGGTCCCCTCCCTCTCTCTATGTCCCCTGTTTCTCCTAATAGTCCCAGGCTACTTCTTAGGAATGGGGGGGGGGGAGGGTGAAGTGTTGTGTTGCTCACTGAGAGGTTGGCAGTTCAAATTCGCCAGCTGCTCCTAGGGGAAAAGATGAGGCTGGCTGGCGGCTCCTGTGAAGACTGGCCATCTGGGGAACCCAGGGTTGCTATGAATCGGAAGAGACTCAGTGACAGTGGGTTTGCTTATGTTTTTTTTTTTTGTTTTGTTTTCTGCTGTTTAGGGGCGGGGGGCGGGGGCCCTGGTGGTGTAGTATTACACACTGGGCAGCCAACTGCCAGGTCCCCAGTTCAAAACCACCAGCCACTCCACGGGAGACAGATGAGGCTTTCTACTCCCATAGAGAGTAGTTTCTACCTCCGTAAGGAGGGGGTAGTTCTACCTTTTCCTATCAAGTCGCTATGAATTGGCATTGACTTGGTGGTAGTTTGGAGCAGAGGCCTTGTGCTCTGGGGTCAGAGTGGGCAGGCAGGTGTGTGTGTGTGTGTGTGTGTGTGTGTGTGTGTGTGTGTGTGTCTGCTTTCTTCCCTCCCAGTCTCCTCCTGGGCTGCCCAGCTGTTTCCTCCCCCACTGTAGTGCCCGGCTGCCAGAGGGGGGACGCATCCAAGTGCCCTTCACTGATAGGCTTGACTTTCCTGGCTCTCTGACCATTCCTTGCCTTTCCCCTCATAGAACCAGAGCTTTACGGGCCTCCATGCTTGCCAGAGCCTGGGGATTTCCTCTGCTCTTGAGCTAGACAGCCTGGTCTCTCTGTGGCCCTTTTAGGTAGAAAGCCCTTCCCCTCCTCTCTAGGCCTTTCCCCCCTGGAGCAGCTTTGGCATCCAGGTGGGATGCAGGCAGCCCGAGGAAGGTGAAAGGACCAGAGCCCATGTGCATATACAGCATGCCCCTCTGGCAGGTAGTGAGTGGTTCAGAGCATGGGCTTCTGAGCCACACTACTTGGGTTAAAATGCTGCCTCTGTCCCTTGGGTGTGTGGGCCAGGCACCGCACACCTCTGGTACCCGAGGAGCATGTCTAGCAGCACAGGGCTGCTGGGCTGTTGTGGGCGTCCGAGGAGGCCCGTTAATAGGAAGCGCTGGAGACCCTGCCTGGCTGGTGGTCTTGGCGCTGGCCCAAAGAGGAGGGCTTCCAAGAAATCCGAGGGGCACGGTGGGCTTGCTCCTGTGCCTGGGGACCCCTCTGAAGGCCTGAGGCCACTCGGGCTGCCCCTTGTTGAGAGGCTAGAGGCAAACCCTGCGCCTCCCTGCCTGTCCTGTCCTAGTCTCACCTTCCCACGGGCCCTGCAGCGGAGTGCCCTCCAGCACAGAGCGCAGGCCATCCCTGCTCCCACCCCAGCAGCCCCCAAAGAGGGGCAGTGATCTCAATCCAGACAGCTCCCAGGGGCCTGTTCCTGGACCAGGAAAAGCGGGAAGCACGCTCCGGTCCTTCCCCCAGGTAGGACAGGGCGAAAGCCCCCACCCTTGGAGGCCCGGCCACATCTGTCTGTTTGGCTCCAGGGAGCAGCTCTGGTCAGACACACAGCCCTGAGTGGCCCATGAAAGAGGCAGACCCAGCCTTCGGATGAGAAAGCAACTTGCAGCTTTTCACCTTCTCCCTTCTGACTTGGAGATGGTGGGGGTCCCCCCTGACAAAAGGACTCCAAAGAGTTACCTCCGTGGCCTTGAGAGCTAAGACAGCAGACCTGGGGCACCTCGACACCCCACCTCTGCCCCGCCCCAATGGTCTCCTCTCCAGAGCTACCTGCACAGCACTGGGGGGACTGGAGGCTGAGCCCATCCATCCATCCGTGGGAAAGGGGGAGGCGGGGCAGAACGTGGTGGAGAGCCCACGGTGGCTGGCCAGTCCCAGAGCTCCCAGCCCTGTTCCCAGCCCTGCGACTCCTGTTGCAGCCTTGCTGGCGGGCAGCAGTCTCAGGGGGCTCTTTACGCCAAGGCTATGAAAACAATCCCAGGCTCCCTTGGAGAGAGGGCAGGTGTAAGGGCAGGGAGGCCGTGCAGCCGACACTCGCAGAGCTTCACACAGACCTGACCTCAGGGCTCTCCACGCAGATGGGGAGCGGAGGCTGCAAGGGAGGTCTGTGAGAAACACGACATAGAGATGCTGACCCGGCCGGGGGTGTGCGCAGTGGGAAGGAAATGGAGGCCACAGGGGTTTCCTGCATCAGTGACAGGGTGCCCACAGAATCCCAGATTAAAATGAAACAACAAAGACTGTCTCCTCGTGAACCAAGCCTCGTTCCTGGGCGGTCGGTGGGGCTGTCGTGCAGGCTGGCCCAGAGAATGAGACCGAGGTTCAGGAAGAGGTGCACGCACGCAGAAGCAAAAGCATCCCTGGGCAGACGTGCGCGTCGAGATTATGCATCACCTTAAAATCTTTGGGCTCTATTCTGTGTGGGTGGGTGGGGGATCAGGGGGTCTCAATTGATTTCCTACATGGGGGGTGTTTTGTTTGCTTTGGTGCTTTGATGTGTATTTGAATCCCCTGGTATGTGTGTGTGTGTGTTGGGGGGGTGGAGGGTGTTAAAAATGGGACGTCCCAGTCTTTGGACCTGGCTGGTACCTGAGACACTTGCATCTCGAACAGGCTTCTAAGTGGCTGCCAGCTGCTGGTCTGAGGACTGCACTGAGAGTCCCAAGAACTGACTGCGGAGGCTTGGGGGGGGCTGCAGGCCCAGGGGTCCAAAAGGGCTGTGGTGAGGCCTGGACAAGGGCAGCGTGGGCTAGAGGGCTGGCAGGGTGGTGGGGCTGAGGAGCGAGGGCAAGCTCAAGGCCAATGCCCAGCATCTGAGGCTTGACGGCTATGACTTCTCTGCTTGGGCCATCCACCTGGGGATCTGCAGCCCGTTGGACCATGAGGCCAGAGAGGGCAACAGCAGAACAGCCTGTCAACAACGGATGTTGTCTGTAGGGACAACGTTCCCCAAGAGCATCACACCAGTTCTTGCAGTGTCCCTTCAGTCTTACGTGGACTGGCCTCCTCTTTGCATTGCTTCATTGTGGAGCAGTCTATTGAGGTCCTGGCAACACCAGCATGATTTGGGGTTTGCTGGGCTTGACGTATCCGGCTGTTGGGTTCCTTGTGTCTCTGCGACCTCCTGGCCCGTTCTCAGTCGTGTGAGACTCGGAAATGGTCGGGGGGTGTGTTTGAGCAGAGTATTCCGGAATGCAGGCGGTGGGGGGATCGAACCATAGACTTGTCTGCCTGTTGGTTTTGTGTCGGAGCCAGCAGCCCCACAGCGTGATCCAGAGGCGCCTGGTGGAGGGAAACCAGAGCCGGCTTCAGAGGGAATCTCCAGATCTCGGGAGCCGCACGGAGGTCAGCAGGACAGAGATGCCAGTTCTTCTGGTCAGCTGCAAGGTGAGAGGCCTCCCTGGGATCCGACTCTCAGGACCAGCCCTATCTGTGCCTGGGTCACCCCCTTGCTTTCATCTTTCCCCCGTGGTGGTGAGGGAAGGAGAAAGAGCCTCTCCTTCTAGCCTGGACCTCAACTTGGGGGCTTGTATCTTCTCTGGAGGTCCTGGAGGTCCTGTAGGCAGATGGTTAACCCACGCCGTTGCCAACTTAAAGACTGGAGGGGGGGCATTGAGACTACCCAGAGGTGCCTCAGCAGAAAAGTCTGGCAGTCCCAAAGGGGTTCCTAGGCTGGCAATCTACTTTCAGGAGATCAGTCATTGAAATCTCTATGGAGTGCAGTTCTACTTTGACACACTTGGGGGTCGACATGGGTCAGAATCAACCTGAAGGCAACTGGCCCAGGAGTCTCCCTGGGTGGCACCACAGCTAAGCACTTGGCTACCAACCGGCAATCTACGTACAAAAGACCAATCACTCCGTCCTTCACAGGAGAGTCACACGGAAGGAATAAAAAAATCTAGGGAGCCAGATAGCACTGAGGAAACACACAACTAGCCTCTAGTTTTCCAAATATTTCCTCCCCTTACTATTAAGGTTTTTGTTTTACCTCATTAATCTTGTTAGCCCTGTGTATGTTCATTTGTATAACTAAGGATGTTCCATGGATGAAATCCAAGAGAGAGAACCCTTCAGAAACAGTAATGGGAGTAACGATTCCCTGAGGGTACAAGAAAGGGGTGGGGTGGGGGAAAGTGGAACTGATAGCAATGAAGACTGTGAAGCCCCACTAGAGGGGAACGAGTAACAGAATTGCAGGTAAATGGATACATTGGATGGTGTAAGATACAGCAAATAATAATAAAAAAATATAATAAGATGGGTTCCTTGGGGGTACGGTCGGGAGGGAGAGGTTAAAGGGGAGCTGATATAATCAAAGAGTTCAAGAAGAAATCAAATGTTTTGAAACTGGTGGTGGTAGCAATGGTAAAGCTATGCTTGATCTCACTGAATTATGGGTTGTTACAATATCTGTAAGAGCTTCCAATAAAATGATTCACAAAAAAATTAAAAGATCAGTCACTAAAAACCCTACGGAGGGCAATTCTACCCCAAAATACATAAGGCTGTCACCTTTATGCTCTGCCTCAATCCATCTGCCTTCTGTTCTACACAGCCCCCCTCCCCATCATTACGCCATCTCCTTCCCCTCGCAAAGCAACTTCGGCGCAACTAGAAGACTTCCGTGTACTCTACACACATGGTGGTGTGTGCACGTGTGGCTGCTGGAGCTCCCCTAGACAGAGCTCACACCCCAAGGGGATGGCCTTGTCATTTCTGAAGCGACGGGACTCTTCTTAGGAAATGCCCCTTGCTTTCCTGCCACTCTGTTTTCTCAGTGCCCCTCCTCCTGCAGGGCCCTCTGCCTGCTCCCCAGGCATTGCATGCCCATTTCCTACCATCTTCGCAAGAGTCCAGGTGTTACCTCTTCCTTGAAACCGTTTCTGATCCTCGCCCCCTCTCCGCTAACAGTCTTTCCTCCCCTTCAACCTCGAGAGCGCTTGAGTCACAACCCTTGTATAGGCCTTAAAACTTCCTACCCCGCTGTTGCTCTTCCGTGCTGCCGAGTTGAGTCTCACTCATTGTGGCCCTACAGGGCAAAGCTGCGCACCCCCATGGGGTTTCCCAGGCTGTCATCTTAATGGGGAGCAGATCACGGGGCCACAGGTGGGTTTGAACCACTGACCTTTCAGTCACTGGGTGAGCGCCAAGACTCCCCCTTTTACCATATAGTAGGCTACAGTATACAATTCAAGACGCCCTTTCCAGTCGCTTACCGAGGCATGTAGAAGAATGAGAAGTCTGCATATGCTTCTCTGTATCCCAAGGACATGGCACAATGTCTGCATGTACTTCCTCGTCCAAAAGGAAGGTGTCTTCCTTTCTTACTAATGATGGGCCTCCTGGCCACTCACTTCCGAGTTTCCCAACCAGGGATCCGTGGTCCTGCCCCTCCCTCCTCCACTCGGATCTGCCACCCTCCACCTCCCAAGCGTGCCCACAAACAAGTTTGTTGTGTTGGGCCAACCTTCCCCAAACCCAGAGACTCATGTTTGACTCCTCAATCGGGGAGGCGACTTTCTCTCAATCGTGCGCATCCGAGGAGCCCTGGTGGCACTTCCGGGTAGGCCCTGGGCTGCTCACTTGAGGCTGGAGGTGTAGACCCACAAAAGATGAGGCTGCCTGCTCCCATAAAGCCTGACCGCCGTGGAAACCCTACCGAGGGTCAACATGAATCCAAACCAAGTAGAGGGGTGTGTGGTTGGCGCGCATCCCAGAAACATTACTCGGCAAGACCTGGCCCCTTCTCTCCACTCATTTTCTTTTAGGTCTGCCTCTATGAATGCTCATTTTTAATGGGGCTGTTAGTCTCTGATCATTGGGGTGAGCTTCCTGGGATTCTAATTGTTCTCTATTGCATTTAGGAAAAACAATCCTTAAGGTATGGTTTTGTTTCCCTTCAAGCAAGAACTTTCCTCTCCATTTTCCCTACAGCACCTCCCAAGGACCATGCATTTCCTTGAATGTTTACACCATTTTTTTTTCCTTTTCCAACCTTGCAAACCACTGCAGGAGATAATTTTCTTGAGCAGCAAACGCACTCTTGTGTTCGTCTGTCCTTCTTAAAGCCAAGCAACTTCATCGGCCACACACAGCTGTTTGGACTTTCTTTCTAATTTCCCTTCCTCAAACATGCTAGTTTCATGCCAGACAACCTATCGGGTCTTGTAGCAGAGACAACCCACTCGTTCTATCAGAGAATTGGGGTGAAAGCCTGTCTGCCCCCTGGCCCATGATGATGGGGATCACTAGCTCCGCACGGCGAGCCACCAGTGGCACTTCGGAGACTGGCCAATCCAGAGCGAGTGAGCACAACCCAGCCCCTCCTCCTCGGTGCGGAGCC